ATCAGCTATGCGCGCCGGGTCTAATTCGCGGGGCACAGATACTGCACGTCTGGGACGACGCCTGGGGAAAAGATAAATGATATATAGATAAATGAATACCATATCAGTAAAATCTCTACATCCTAAACCTATTTTCTTATTTTTAAAATAATAATTATAACCTAATAATTACAATATTTAAAAAAACAATACACGTAAGCATGGGGGTAGGGAGTAAGAGCTTTGCTTACTTTTGCTGACAAGGGGGATGGGGGGGGGTAAATAATTGTAATAAATCTGCTTACGTAATACTTGAACTGTTACTAATTTTTAATTAAAATTCTATTCATTATGTGTTTGATTAGCGATCTTTGCACATAAATATGAAAATAATTTACACTAAATATTTAATTTTTTTTTCTTTTCAAAGTACTCATGAGATTAAGTTACAAGTATCACTAATGACGCAAGCAATTATTTATTTATTCAGGTAACTATACAAACGAATTATGGCATTAGCGCCATAAAAGCAGCGGCGATATCACAATAGAAAAGGGATTTTAATACCTTTTGACTGTTAATTTGACCTAAATAAACTTGGTCTTTGTGATGTTTTGTATTATTAATTTTTGGAATGCAATAAAATTTTATGGTTTACTGAAATTCTATAATGCGCTTTTAGGTTTTCTCAGAAATCGGCATGTTGCTTTACAATTAACCCTTGGACCATTTATTGGTCCATTGCTATCACAAGGTATAGAACGTCTTACTATTATTACTAAAACCACTTTTGGTATGATTGAAAATGTGTTCACATACAATGGAGAGCAATAAAATTGTTAATATTTGTGAATACTGATTTTCGCCATATCGAATATTGTATGAATGGAGAACTAAAAGTTATTACAATATCATGTTTTATAATACATAATAATAAACTAGAATTGAATGGACTCTCGGCACTCTTTCAAGTAGATATAAAGAATAGCTTGAAAATCTTTGCATTTAAAGTTAAGAAAATTTTTTTTAGTTTATATTAGATTGAATGTTATTTATCTTATTATTGACAATTTTAATAGATAAACTAATTGATTCATAGATAAATATTTGTATACAGAGAGAAATGCGAACAGGCGACAAGGCGCCTTACCGCGGGAATGCGTTTGTGATTTAACTGGAGCAAATCTTCCGAAAATACTCACTTCAACGCCGAAACTTAACTACGCAACCATATGTCAAATCCTACTATGAATCGCTAATAATAATATGTACCTGTTTACATATTGGAAATAATTATGACATCTGAATAATGCATTCATAGTGCAAAATTGATCCTATATATTAAACCATAGTTAAGTTACAATTGGCTAAACAAATAGAACTTCAACAAGAAAAATTTTTAAATGTAGATTCCAGAAAATTGTGTGAATTTGACACAAATCAAAGCCTTGGTGTGTATAATCCCAATTACTTCATCTTTGCACCTGAAGTAATAAATCTAGCTAACATATTATTGACACGCGAAAATAATTGCACATTTGAGTGATCACTATACGGAAGCATTAGCTAAGGTATGCGATTTATATTTAGTTGGCACGAAGGATCTGATAGCTCTATGAATATGAAATATTACTGCAGGTTTTGGCAACATGTCTGCTATAACAAGTAATAAATCTTTCAGAAACCAATCCTGAAAATTCCAAAAAACTTTGTCAAAAATTTACTTGATTAGTTGAAAGTCTTGAGTAAATCTGAGTCATTTCAACTAGTATAGTTTTGTGATAGTACTAATTTTGGTAATAATAAATTTAGCAGAAAACTAATTGCAAATGGAATAGTTATTAATTGAGTATTTTATAATGCAATTGTTATGCAGACGTATTTTATAACAATTTTTATGATGTTTTTTTTTATTTTAATTAAATAAACAAAAACCATATGCATCACGTTAAAAGAATCGGAATGACTAAATTCGCATAGTCATATATGATGTGCATGTGCATGAATTTATAAATATGAATTCCTATCTAGCATTCCTAAATCGAGACTATTTTATATAGTTAAAATATAATTAACTCAATACAAAATTGAATTTAACGAATGAAACGTTTCAGAATATTGTTGAATGAAATATAGTAAGAACTTATACATTTCGAAAAGTTTGGATAATGTTGTGGGCTAAAATGCAAATTAAGGAATCATAGATAATTTATTGCGCTATAGTAATATGGATTAATAGCATTTAATTTGGCAATAAATTCTTATCTGCTTCTAAAACCTTCAGTATGATATGATCTGTATAACATGTGTTACCAAATCAAATAAGTGTCCAGTACTTATATGATACGATCGCCGTTGCCAAAACTATAAGATTTCTTCCGGGGTCGAGCCACTCTCATTTGCAAATGCCCACATAGTTGATTGAATTACGCAAACATATGTGCAGGCACAAATATTTCTATTCAAAGAGATCAGAAAAAAATGACAAAAATAAAAGACGTTGCTGAGAAACACGAGATGAATGGACGTTACAAATATATGCATTCGTCTTGTTCCTGCTAACGAACCGAAAATTCTTGTTAAGATACGCTTTGTAATTGATTTTGCTATGTTATGTCCACATGTGTAATATATAGGTTACGTTAAAAAAAGTTAGAAATTTAACGATACATGATATGGATATAATATAAAATTAAAATTGAAAATGTAGATCCCAACATTCCATACGTCCGTACGTGCAAAAAAATATTAACATTTCAAGACGATAGTTGCATTCGAAACTGCATTTTAATAATATTCGAATAATATAGAACGCCTATAAAATTTCTCTAAATTCTCATTATTGGAGCAATCTTAAAGAAATACCTATAATACCCTTATTCAGAAAATATAAATAATATAGATATCTAAATTCTATATTAAGAAATTCAATCAGATTGCTAGTTTTCAGATATTTAATAGCCGTAAAAATGTTCACAAAGCAATATACCTATATTAGTTAATTAATTCAATGTAAATATAATTTGAATTGCAAACATGTTAAATTTACTAAAGCAAATCAGTTTACAACACTAAACATACATAATAAATTAGACTATTAAATTATTTTATTGACTCAAAATAGTGAAGGTGAGAATAAATTTGTTAAATCGCCCATTTTAACATTCACTACAACATTCTGGTTAAATTAACTACCAAAGACATAATCCGCTAAACGTCTTATATGCTCCAGTTAGCAAACTATAAATTTTCAGCGTAATAGGCGAATGCAGAAAATTATAGAATGGGTTACAGCGTTTTAATAAAATTTGGGTCAAAAGTGTAGGTGCATCGAACATAAATGACAATAATAAAATTGTAAAAAATAGTAAATTAAAATTCATTCTAATTGTCTCAGACATGTTGGGGATCGCTAAAAAAATGAGACCTTGAAATCGTTTTTTCTTCATTTTCATATTTTCAAACTATATAAAAATGTGTACGAGAGGATTTTTTTTAATTTAAATTATTTTCGGAGATACATCTGTTTGACCATGAAATCATTTTCCTTTTGCAAACTTTTAACGCGTTTTTCTCAAAACTGTCTTTTTCAATACGATGCCTACGATTTCTCAAATTCTACTGAACGGATTTACTTGAAATTTTTAGAGGTTCTTCTTTATAGACTTCTCTCAAGCATATTCTTAGCCTCATCTTCAAATGTTAGTTTGCACTATTTTTAAAAAATTCGAGAAACTCAAAAAAGTGATAAAAATATATCATTTTTTTCAAACAGTTGCTATTTTGACAAAAAGTATCCTTTAACATAATCCTATTATATACCAATTTAACATCATTCCAGATCAATAATTTTTTTTTTCATTTCGGATTACTAGAAGAGATGCAATCGTAGTCATGATAATGTGTCAACTTGATGAGACCCATCACGTCAACCACTGCCAATTTTCAAAATAATTAACTTTGTTTTATATTTTTCTGTACTCTTGTAACATTGATATTTATTTATATAAATTTATGAAAAAATTGATTTCCGTTTTTACAATTATTTAAAAATGACCTAAAATTCATGTCTCTACACTAAAATACACCGTTAATATAGTACCTTCTTTTTTAATTCCCGAAAATGAAAATTTTTATATATCTTTACGTTTCAGAGGTTTCTGAATATTTTGGCATACCTTAGAAAAAATGAATGTATGTGTGTGTATGTGTATGTGTATGTGTATGTGTATGTATGTGTGTGTATGTGTGTGTGTGTGCGTGTGCGTATGTGTGTTCAGATACAAATTTTCATCGACGATTTCGGGAACACGGATAAAGCGATTTGAATAATTCAAAAAACATTCGATTCGCATTGATAAGGAGACGTGCTGATTAGTTTTTGGCAAAGGCATGTCCTGCTGTTCCGAAGATATGTTGCAAAAAGTGCCAAATACTGGTAACTCAGTTTTTAAAAGGACATAGCGATTTGAATAATTCAAAAAACATTTTACTTGTATTAACAAGATGAAGAACTAATCAAATTTTCATGAAGGCAGGTCTAGCGGTTTCGGAGATCTAGTTAAAAAAGTAAAAAAAAAAAATGCCACCTGGCGGTCAAAAATGATCATTAGACATATGCACATCAAAATATCAGATATTTTATAGAGATTTTAACAATAAGTATAAATTTTGTTTACATTCCTATGGGTTCCGTACCAATGCTTATCCGTTAGACGGCGGCGCTTCGATATTTCGTCTCTATGCAGTTAAAGCAGTACGATTGCTTTGAAAAAAGTTCAGAATTTCCAAAATATTTCAAAATACACTTTTCTTCAAAAGTCTTTTTTTCAAAAAAAAGTAAATTTTTTCAAAAATTTATAGTTCCTCAAAAATCTAATTTTTCAGAGTAATTTTTTTTCAAAAATGTTAATCTTTAAAAAAAATATTTTTTGTTACGGGAAGTTTCAGCAATTTGCCTTAAGGCACGATGCCATGCGCCCCACTAGTTTAATTTTATTTTTTAACAATCTGTTACTTACCATGTAAAATCTCTATTAGAAGGCGGCGAAGTATTATTGTCCGAGGATTCGCTCGGCCTCCGCGTAAACGCATCAGAATTTCTCCTGTCCGATGAAATCCCGCTGATATTGTTCGCGGCGGTCGTGCTGGGTGGCGAGTCCCCGCCGTTGACAGTCGACGCTGAATCTCCCGCCAGATGAGCCGCAAGCGAACCCATTCGCGAATGTGCGCGCTCTAGGAAGCGGACTAGCTCCTGCACAGATCGCCTGTAGATCATGCGACTTTCCTCGCTCTAAAAAGGAAATGTCATGGTTGGAATTAAAATACATACTTTTGAATAATTATAAGTAATGTAGTATTTTATGAATGCGGGGAACCTTGTCAAAATGTCATTTAGCAATCTGGAAACTGCGGGCTTAGGGCCGTTCAAGTATTACGTAAGCACTATAGGGGGGCGGGGGGGTTGTTGATTTGCTTATTTTGGGTTGACATGGGGGGCAGGGGAGTCTGGATGATGATTACGTCATAGGTAGTATTTTTATTTTTTTACATTAATTGCAAAATGTTTACGTAAGCATGGGGTAGGGGGTAAAAGCTTTGCTTACTTTTGCTGACAAGAGGGATGGGAGGTAAATAATTGTAATAAATCTGCTTACATAATACTTGAACGATGCCTTATGTCGAACTGTCTCGAAACAGAAGTGAGGAATTTTGTAAGCTATGACTGTTCGGGTAATAGTATTAATATGTAATAAATGTATAAACGTAATAGAAGATATATTTTGTTAATAATATATAATTGTAAAATGCAATTACACAATTAAAAATTACACATTTCCATGAAAGCTGGGCTTAAAGTTCTGCGAGTAAAAAGGTCCACTACCAATATCCCAACAGAAACCATCAATATATCAAAAATAAGTAAAGTTAAGATCTTTTAACAGAATTTGAAAGTAGAGGACAAACCATCGCCATAAATAAAGCAACGTTGCTATAAGAAGGTAAAAGGCAATGTGTGAAAATCTATAACACAAGTTTTTTTTTCGTTGGGGAGCATCCATTAATCGCGTGAGATTTTTAGGGAAAGCGGGGGTTAGGGGTTTGACAAAAAATCATAAAATATCACTTGAGGAGGGAGGGATATAGTAAGATATGACGTGTATTTTTTATTTTAACTATTTTTTTCTTAAAAGTTCAAACATTTCCAAAAAGATTCAAAAATTTTACAGTTTTTTCACGTAATTAAAGACACACGTGATGTTTGGTGGGGGGTGGGAGGTGTAACTTTGAATGTCACTATGTATCACCAAGGGGAAGGGAGAGTCCAAAAATTCTTGAAAACTCGCTCACGTGATTAATAGGCGCCCCTTTGTTAGTTTTTTTTGGCTGTGAGCACTGTTGTTTAGTTTATGAGACCTTAATATAATATTTAAGTATACGTTATTTATTTGTCTTATAAGTTGTGTTGTTTATTTTAAGTTAGATTCGACAAAGTTTTATTAGTATCTTTTATAAAAGCTTACCTATGAGTGGGGTATCAAACTCAAGATCAACTGAAACTTTACCCTAGTACAGGTGTAAAGAAAAGAAAATAGTGCATAAAAAAGTCAATTTAAAAGAAATAAATTAAATTAATAGTTATTCCAACTCTGCTAAAGAATATTTCTTACCAAAATACCAGATCAAGGTTATATTTGTATTGTTATCTTTGTAAAAAATGTGCATATGAAATTTATATTTTGCATTCGTTGAATAATGTATGTAGCTATATATTTATTTCCCTTTAAATTTAAAATTTAAAAATTAAATGTTAAGTTTAAAATGAAAAAAATGATATGTGTAATTTATAGTAAAATTTCGTAATCGAATTAGTATGTTTAAAATAAAAAAATAGAACATTGGATCTGTTTGTCCCCTGGCTGTCTCTCTTTGCTCAATATATGTGGTAAAAAGGAACAGATGACAAATTTTGGAAAAACGGTAAAAAACACATTTTTATAATTATTAATAAACTAACTGGAAATTTTATTGAATTTAGTTCAATAATTGCTTGTTTGATACGCTATATTATTGTGATGTAGTTTATTTGCTTTTGGCAGTATAATTACTTAAAGTCACATTAAACCGCCCTATCCTTTACTGTGTTAAAGTTATTATACATTTTCAAAAATTTGTTGACGTCACATAATATAGTAGCAAATTCATTCACGTACTAAATATAAAGTTTGTTGTAATTAATTGTCATTTATACCAAGTCCACCATGTTTGAGACAAAGACATAAACCCCCATAAGAAATAAAATATTACTACTTATCTATCATTTATTTAATCCTGTTTACCTCTTTCAAACGCCATCGTAGAGATTCTACTTCAGACTGCAATATAGACGTATGTAATCTACCTCCCAACTCTTCGCCTTGTGGTAATCTTGCCAAACCCAAAGATCTCCTATTGTCTTCTAATAGAGAACGACAATCGGACTGCAACTGCAAAAACAAATTACAAAAGATTAAATTGAGAAAAGCTTTTGAATGAAATAGTACGGATGGAACGATATCAATAATAAGAGAAGTTAATAGAATTTCATAATCTTTTATGGTACTACCGTATTTACTGAATAAAATTTTGATCCTTTCATACTATATATATATGACCATATTTAACGATCAGCCGATCACTTTATCATTTAACTACTGTATAATTAAAATAATTTGCTATAGATAAATTCTTTACATAGTATCGAATCTATGGTTTCGAAACTTGGTCAGAACTAGTTTGTGTTGCAAAAATTAACGTTTTCATTATAAAAGCTTATGTGAATGGTTTAATAAGTAAGTATATTTTTGATTGATCGATTAGTTGTTTATGTTTCTATTCCATCTCACAGTAAATGTTATTTCAATTCAAATCAAACGAAGCGAAGTGCATATGCTTTTTCCAATCTTATTTCTTTCACTTTGTGAATAAACTAACCAAAGCACTGAACTAAACAATATTTCAAAGATCCTCTACGGTCGGCTAGCAAATAATACAAAATAAATAGATATCTGCCTAAGGCATGCTGCAGACAGCAATTTCAACAAACAATTCTATTGTTAAATTTGTGATAATGGAACTTTGATTGCGGTAATGTCTTTTTTATATGTGAACACACAATACTTTTAAATTGCACTGAAGGTTTCACATCTGAAGAATTTCTGCAGTTTAGTTCGCATTGTTTTACTTTGATACAGTGTGCACGAAAAGTAATTTTATTATGGGAATAATTATATGTTTGGATATTTTGAATTACCATACAAGTGATTTAAATTAATAATAATAGTTAAACAAGGGCTTAAATTCCCATGGAAACATTCAATGAATGCTTAATGGAAATTCTTCGAGTTTGCTGAAATATTATTGGTATTCAAATACCTAAATTTTTATTGGTGAAGGCGTATATGATTTTAGATTTTCATAACCGATTTCGTTTTCAATTTCCATAGATATTGCAGGTTTATCTCGATATATGATCACATAGCATCCGTAGACTTCGGTATTACGTAGACACTAGATATTGATCGAAATTTGCGCAGCCTGTGGCAGAAAAGTAGGATTGGACCAATGCCAAAGTGCACAAGAAAATGAAAGCAATGCGGGCAATGCATTCCCCCAAACGCATGGACTATCAAAATAAAATATTATAAAAACAAGCTAAAATTTACTAGCAAAAAATCTCTGTCAAAGCATGAAATTAGAAAAATAAACATTAATCAAAAATTTATTTTGCGGTCTATCCCACGATCAGAGAAGATAATTTAATACCATCGTTATTGTCAAATGTAATCTTAATTATACACTAATAAGCAAAATTCTTAATGTCTACCTTGATTATTTCGTCTGATTAGTTAATAAAAAAAAACTTGAAACAACGTTACTTGACCTACGTTTATGGCATAAAGAAAAATACCGTAATATACAGAAGAACAGATGTTATTTGTATTGTAATGAGCGTATAAAATCTTAGTACAAATTCTTAACTGCAAACAACTTGTAATGGAAATATTTTTTATCAAAGAATGTTTGTAACACATGCGTATTTATATTTTTACAGCCTCGTTCAATTATAAACAATGTTTAGTATTTTTTAATACATTAAAAAGCGCTTTGTGTTTCAGAAGTCTCGCGATAATGAAAACACGTTGTTTATATAAACTAATATTTTAATACATATGACGTCTTGAATGTAATTGTGCAAAGTGTATGCCCTTTCAAATAATTAAAAATTAGTGAAATAAAATAAATACGTATAGAATATCAGGCAATTATTTCTGAACAACATTGAGAAACTTAATAGCTTTTGAATACAAAGAATGAAATTGAATCAAAGGTAATTATTATATCCAAATTTCACTTACACTTTTTCAAGAGTATTATGATTTCTATAAAAATCATACAATTGACAATTTTGATATTTGATAGCAGTTTATTTATGGGTAATTAAAATTTCTAATTACATGTAACAGAAAATTTCAGCAGAGGAAAGAAAAACAAAAGGATATTAAATTTTTCGATTACCAGATGAATGTACCGTAAATAATTTTTTTTAATTACAAATTATGTTAATATATTCGGATATGGTAGCTAAGTTTAAATATATACTAAAAATAAACAAAAGCATTAATTATGTCCTTGAATTTGGAAAATTCATCACCTGATTAGGGGTCGTCTTCGAAAACCTTGAAAGGGGAAGGGGGCGTTTGACAAAATATAACACGGGAGAGGTATGGATCGAATTAGATATCACGTAAATATATTTTTTCAAAAATTCAAAATTTTTCAAAAAAAAAAATAAAACATTTTTTCACGGTACACGTGATGTTGAGTGAGTGGGTGAGAGATGATAATTTTAAATATCACCACGTATCACCAAAGAGAGGTAGAGAGGTCCAAATATCTTTAAAAATCGATCACATGATTAATGGACGTCTCCTTTTGAAAATATTCGAATCTTACACGATTTTTGACACAAAATTGTGACTCCTTTACTAATATCTACCTTAAGTGCCCCTTGATACAAAATACTGTTACTTCATTTATTAACTTCACCTTGTCACAATACATTTATCATGTTCTCCAATTAAAGCGAAATTCAGATAGACGTCGTCTTATCTGTCAGCGCGTGTAATTGTCCTAGTTGTGTTTGTATGCGCGAAAACTAACTACTCTAATTCCATCATAACATAGCAATGCTATTTGTAATTACCGTAAGAGATCGTGAAATTAAAGTCGATGTTTTGAAAAAGAAATATTATAATAATGCAGAATTAGTTCTAATGGCATAGATGTAGATGGATTCTCATCATATGCTGAAGTAGCCTTACTCCTTGCTGAGCGCGTGATGCACTTGTTGAGGTAATTGAAAAATGCCAAAATTTTAATTTGTGACAAAAATTAAAAATTTAGTGATTAAAAATTACTGCACTAAAGTAAAAACAATAGCATGAAGCATAAAACTATTTTATGTTTTCGCAACAGTAATAAAAATTTAATTAACTATTATTTTTTCCATAGAAAGATTTATTTCATGGTCATTCTATACTGAAAAGCGCGAGTCATATTTAATAGATTGCTTTTTAACGATTTAAAAAATTTAATTTAAAAGCATATGTAATATTTATGCTTTTTTGTACAGCTTTGAGCATAAAATGTATTCAGTTTTATTCATGTTATAAATCCAGTTTACTACTGAATTTTAAAATGATTTTTAAAATAATTAATATGAAATAGAAAATATAATTAGCCTGATATAAAAGTGTGAAAGTAAAATAATATTTTTTTTATTATTATTATAATTTTATTTGATCATCTATCTACAAGAGATATAAAATCAATTGCTTAGAATTGAACAAAGAAAGAAAAAGCTAAGATCTGCATCCAGTGAAGAGCATAACAATTGTCCAAAAAAAAAAAAAATGTTTTCCAATTCAAGAAAACAAAAATCTCATCATATAAACCATCTACATCTGCATCTGTTATCTCACAAATTTCAACTCTATTTTTTATCCAATTTTGAGTAAGAAATATAATGCGATATAGAAATAAGAAACTACTAAGCAAAAACGCGCTTTCGTTAAAAACTTAATCATTTGCATACGAAATTCTATAATCTGCAAACAAATTATACAAAGGTTGTTTAATTTTTCATATTTTTATACTATTAAACTAGTATCCAGCGGATATCCATGACCGCATACCCAAGCAAAAATTATTCACATCCTAATCATAAAAAATAAGTATGTATTATTATTACACATAGCAATTATCTGCAACAGTAATTTTAATTGCATTTCCTTTAAAACAATGTATTATAGTAAAAAACTGAATATTGATAATATGCTAAGAATAAATAATTTTTCTACAATACTGGTAATAATGAAGAAGATTTATCTTTCATAAAAATAGCTTCATCTATTTGAATGAGTATCTTAATGAACAGTTATTTTAATTAATTAAATAAAAATTTATGTTAAGACTCAATTCTATCAAGATCATTAAGTACTTAATTCCTTCAGTTGTATAAATATCATTTAAGGCTCGTGCTAACAGTAATTGAGATAGTTAACAGTTCATTTTCTCTTTTAGTAATATATTTTCTCTTCGTATTTGATAATTTAAAACAGATAATATACTATGCCAGTTAACATATTGCTAGTTGCAAATATAATAATACGACTATTTTAATAACCATAGGCATGTAAATAAATATAACCATGAACATTCATACAGAGAATTGAAGTAAGTTAAATTGCATAATTGTTCGCAATTTAGGTCAATATTAGTTACTAAAGTGCTGCACATATTAGCTATCTAGAAAAGCTCAATTGTTGAAAGAAGCCATGGTAATGAAGCCACGAAGCCATTAGAAGCCATGGTAATGAAGTTAAAATTTTTATTTCTAAAATTTATGAAAGACAAATATATTTCTTCATATCCTGATATCAATTTCCTTGAACAGAATTGAGAAACCTCGTTGAAATCGAAATCATGTTAAATATCCAATCTTCAACACCTCTCGTAAAAGATACTATTTCCATCAACAGCAGATTTATGTTACAATTAAATAAACACAATCAGAACACGAATTTATATGCACTGCTCATATAAATTCCATTGCCTGGCGTCTAAATTTAGTGTAAGCATCCGAAAAATATATAGATATGAATGTAGAGGCAACCTGATAGCGAGTGAATGGAACTGAATAGTAATATTTATGATAAAGATCTGAAGTGGACATAAAAATATAAAAAGAAGTTTATTACGAAATTGAAAATTAGGGGGCATCCATTAATCACGTGAGCGAGTTTTTAAGGATTTTTTTTTAACAAAATTACTCCCCCCCACCACTAAACATCGTGTGTATTTTTAATTACGTGAAAAAAACTAAAATTTTTTATTTCTTTTTTGAAAATATTTGAATTTTTTTAAAAAATTCAGGTATAAAATA